AATTTATAAATAAAATTTTTTTTATAAAAAATTTTTTTTTAAATACATAAATGTATAAAATAATATAATTAATTTTGAATAAATATATAAATTAAATGTGAATATTTTTCATTATTAATATGTTATATTATAATGAAATATTTATCATTTCTATAAGTCTTTATCATAAATAAAAAAATGTTATCTTGAAATGAAAAAATTTCAAATTTTATTTATTTTTTATATTTAAGAAAAATAGAAACTGATAAAATTTTGTCACGTATTTCTGAAGCATTCTGCAGAATCTATTATAAACTTTTATGTTTTTTATGTTTATATATTAAATATACAATTATAAAAATGACAAAATAATCAATTTTTTTTATTGAATTTTTAAAAATTATTTGAAAGAGAAAATTTATTAAAAATAGAATGTTAGAAAATACGAAATTTTATACATTATTGTTTCAAGATGGAAATTTGTAGAACAATGAAGTTGATAAAAGTATTGAATAACCAATTGATTGTCTTAAGAAAGTTCGTAGAAAATATGTTCGATAAATGATTTGTATTATATTTATAATATAAAAATATAATATATTAAATAAAAAATATAAAATATATATAATATATCAAAAGATATATTAAATTAATTAGACAAATATCGTATTGTAGCGTATGAAAATATTCATAAATAGAAATAAATTTAATATTATAATATATTAATATTTAGCTATGGTATATAAATATAATATAAATATATGGTATATATTTATTTTAATTATTACAATTTGTTTGTTGTTATTATTGTCTTTCAAAGATAAATATCAATTCATACATATAAGAAAAGATAATTTTAAGAAACAGCAATATAATTATTTTAGGAAGTAAATATACATATATGTATATATATATATTATTCTTGTAAATTTAACAAAAAGTGAAAATTAAACAGTTACTTTTTCAGAAAAAAATTAACATTAAATTTAACATTCTCCATTATTATATGTAAATATAATATAA